GTTTGGACGCATCCACGTGCACCGTGTGTCAGAAGTGATTCTGACTAGTCCAAGTGCGATTGTAAGATATATCACGGACAATGCTTTTGCCTCTCCGGGGCTAGATTTGACCATGTGCGAGTTTTTTCGCAAGATCACTTCGTGGTTTTCCCTTTACCCACCCTATTTTCTCAAGATCACTTCTCGTGGTCTCCCTTTCGCCACCCTCTTTTCTCAAGATAATTTTCCTTTCGCCACCCTATTTTCTCAAGATCATTTCCCTTTCGCCACCCTATTTTCTCAAGATCATTTCCCTTTCGCCACCCCTCTTTTCTCAAGATTACTTCTAAAATCGGTTTCTCTTTAACCCCCCGTCTTTCGAGGACGTCTTAAAGCCGCCGGCCCGTGGTTTTGGTGCCCAAATTTGGAGGCAGCGCTGCGCCTTTCCTCCAAGTCCTCCAAGTCGCCTCGGCCTGAGCCGGGGGTCGGTGCGAGCGAGCACTTCTGGGAGGCTGCGTCAGAGAGAGGCCCGGGCTTGGCTGCTCATTGGGTTGGATCTTTGGATCTTTAGACTTTAGTTTGTTTTTCTTCTTCTTTTTTTCCCCCCCGTTTTTGGAAATTTTAGGGGGTTGTCCACCCCCCCGAAAAGTGGAACTCTTTTGCCGCGGGGGTCAACAGCAACCAAGCATGCATGAGAGAATGTCCCGGAGCGCTCATGCAGCTCCAGTCCGCTTTCCTTTAAAGGCTGGCGTTGCACATCAATGCAAATCGTTTTCTCGAAGGCCACATGCGGGGTGGGAGAGTCAGCTTCTTTTCAATAAGCACTTGGGTAAGTCGGCATTTGGCAACGGACCATGCGAGCCAGCAACTTACCTTGAAGTTTTGCACTCCAAAAGACAGAAAGCTGGGACTGGCTTGACAGATGCAAGTCAGCTACCCATATTTGCTATGTTGCTCAACTTGCACTAGCTTGTTTGTCAAGACACAATATACCAGAGACAAACATAGCTGGGATGTAATTTTAGAGAATGAGCCGTTCTGAGTTTATTCGTTTTGAATGAATGTGGCGCCCGTGTTTTTGTTTCTCTCTCCCTCTCTCTCTCTCTCTCTTTCTCTCTTTCTCTCTCTCTCTCTCTCTCTCTCTCGTGTTTTGTTTTGAAAGGGCATTGAAGAGGTACTTTGCTCGAGTGGCTTAATCATGTGAAGGCAGTCAAATAACTGGCGAAACGGCCAGCGCTCTGAAAGGTCGTTCGGGACGTATCGGGACGTATCGGTTTCGCCACTTGTCGGGGCGTGAGGCCCAATGTCAGCTTGATGGACAAAGAGCAGAAGCTCGCCTGGGTACGAGCACGGCGCCCAGATTCTGGGAACAGATGTGGTTGGGAGTGGAATCGGGCGATGTATCTAATGCGCAATATCCGTTTTGCTCGTTGGACATGTCAAAGACGTGCGCACCAACATGACTTGGTGCACAGACTGAACATCCGAAAGGATTGTCTTCCAGGGCTGGCACGAAACCATGTTTGGAAGGGTATGCAGTACTTGGCATCCGAAGATCGGACGGCTTGGCTGCTTGAGCCTAGGACCTTGAGGGTAAGGCGGACATCGCGGCAACGGACACTGTCCTGATGTTGGCCTGGCGCTGAGTGAGGCTCTGCGAGTTTTTTTTTCTCCTTCTTTTTTTTTTAACCAAAAAGTCTGCAATGCTTCACCACTACCAGAAACAAGGGGGTGACCATCACCCCCTCACACTCACCCCTCCAAAGTTTCACCACCCCTCCCCTCCCTTCCCTTTCCCCCAAAAAGAGACGTCCAAAAACCGAAGAACATCGCCAGGGGCTTGGGCCACGTGTTGTCTTCGGGCGCAAACTCCGACCGTCCAACCGAGGCCTTCCAGCTCCCCGTGAAAGTCTTCAAGGACAGCGACGGGCACTGGAAGCTGAGCCAGAAGGCCTCCATCGAGCGAGCGAGCGGGCCATGGAGGTTTCGGGCCATCGGGGTTCGGTGTTCGGGCGGCGGGTTTCGCCGCCCAAGCGACCGCAAAGCGACCCCCAAGAGACCCCCAAGAGACCTCCCCCCCTTCTTCAGGCGTTGGCTTTTACGGCCCAAAAGGATAAAAGGAGGATTAGATGGACAGACTCACCAAGAAGGCAAAGTGGGACGACTGCAGAATGGTGAGATGAGGTTGAGAACTTTTGGGGGGTTGCCAAGCTTTGGCTCACCATTTTTCGGAGCTACGAGCTCCCCCATGCACATTCCGCTGAGATCGGAATCCGTTTCGAGGTTGTTTGCCCACACCGAGCTCTTGAACCGGTCTAAAGGTATCCAAGGCTTGTGGGCGCAGTGAAGAGACCTCCCAAAGACCTCCCTGTCTCCAACTGGGCGTGGTTCTTTTCTGTGGAGGCGGCAGGGTACTTCTTTCGGGCTTGCTTCAAAGGGAAGCCAAGGAGAGCACCGCCAATTTGTGGCGCCCAAGTCCTATGGTTCGCCACACCCAAATCCGCTTGGGCTTTCAAGGTCTTCGGTCGCTGGAAGGTTGGGACTCGGCAGCGAGGCAAAAACAAATTGGCGCCGTGTGTCGGGCGGTTCTCAAAGTCAGTGGCGGGGCTTGCAAGGAGCAAGTGGACGGTCCATATGGACCGTCATTTTCTGCGGGGATGGCGTGGGTCACACGGGCCTCAAATTACCATGAGGGAGGGCGGGGTTGAACCTCGCCAAAACCTGCGCATTTGTTGCATTGCGAAGTAGTTGGTGGAAGAGACGCAACCCCAGAAATCAGGGTTGGGCTGGTGCCGCTCGTTTAATCAGTTTCAAAGTTCAATCCACTATTGTTTACCCAACATCCTCTTGGGTTCCCTTCAAAGGGAACACATTTTTTGGGTTGAGTTGCCGGGCTGCTGCTAAATGAGTCGTCGAGTGGACTTCAACGACGCTGGCCACCAGGCAGCTTTGCCCCGCTCGGGGTCGCGGCCGGGTCGCGGCGTGAGTCAGGCGCCGACGGACGGCAGAAACTTTGCCTTCCTGCCGCTCCTGCAGGAGGGATTTCGCGCCAGGGATTTTGGTTCTTCGGGTTGGGCGGATTGGGGTTGGGCGATGGATGCCAGATTTAGGGGGGTGTTCCCTCCAAAAGTGGTCTGAATCCCCACTAAAAGGGGCCCCCCTATTAATCAACCAGGGGTTCTACTTAGATCCGGGGTTAACATTATTGTCAGTTGTCAGGAAATTCCACATGAGGATAAAATTGATGGAGGTGTCCAAGCACCAGCTTTTCCGGACCCAAGAAAACGCGGACCGAGTGGACGTACTTTGAGGACAAACAAAATGGATTTGCCTTGAAACCGGGGAAACAAGATGACTCAAAAGCCGCAACAGACGGACAACGTACATTTGACTACGCCTGTTCTAGGGTACTGGATGCTTGCTTAGACATGCACTGGTTGCTTCTAACACCTTGAATCCACCGGCAGCCTCATTAATGCAGCGAGCAGCTGACAAACTTACTTGTCTATCGTTGGTTTGGGAAGGACGCGACGTGGCAAAATTCTTTCAATCGCAGAATGCCGAGGGTTGAGACCATTCGAATTTCCCGTCTTGGGGAAACGGTCGTTTCGGGCTCACGTCACCTGAGAACGGTCTGTCTTGAGCGCATTTTTCCACGCAGGGAGTCAGGAGCAGTTGAGCCTCTGGACATCAGGCTTGTGACATCCCTGCGCCTTTAGTTGGGTGCCAATGTTTGTTGAAACCTGAGGAGTCCTCTCATAATAATATGTCCCAAGCACACGAGCAGCTCAACTAGCTCCTTGGCTTTTTGGCCTTTTTGGCTTCTCGGCTTTCCGGCTTCTTATTGGTTTATGCGGCTTTTGGTGGCTTTTTGGCTTTGGGTTTTCGCATCCTCTGCATTCCCAGTTCCTCCCCGGCAGGTAGCGTTTTGGCTTTTGCGGCTTTTCGCTGGTTTATGCGGCTTTTGGTGGCTTTGGCTTTTCGCATCCCCTGCTTTCCCAGTTCTTCTCCGGGCTTTTTGGCTTTTGCAACCTTTCATTGGATTTTGTCTTTGGCTTCCCGCATCCTCGGCATCACCAGTTCTTCTCCGGCAAGTCTTCTTTATATTTATGTTTATGTGTGTCTGCATGTATGTATGTCTGTGTGTATGCGCTTCTACGAACATCATAAAGAAGCCTCCCCCCCAACCCCTCCGCTGCTTTCTATTTTCTATCGCATCCTTTCTTGAATCTTTGCACCCCTACTTGAATCATCACTTTTTCGAACATCATGGGGGGGGCTGAAGACCCCCCAAGCCCCCCGCTACTTTTTAGATTTTTTACAGGATTGAAATGCCCTCCCATTTGAATCATCATTTTTCGGACCCCGTCAACCCGCCAACTATCGCCAACCAGCTTTATTTTTTTTACCCATGTTTTGTTGGTGATGCTGGGGATGTTGGTCCGACATGCGGATGTTGAAAACAATGCTGGGGATGTTGACGGGCTAGTGACAAATACGTCAATTTGCGAGATAATGCTGTAAAATACGACATTTTACTGGCCAAAACAAGAAACGGGAAAACCCCCCCCCCCCCAAAAAAAAAAGCAGAAAGAAAGAAAAAGAAAAAGAACAAGAACAAAAAACAATAAAAACAATAAAAATAAAATACATCCGCACCCATTGTAGGACACCTTCAGATGTGCGCTGGCACAGGCTATCTTGGAAGGCCTATCATCAAGTGGGTGAAACTCTTTTTTTCGGGGACCCCTCAAGATGGTGGTTTCCTTTTGGTTTACTTTAAGGCACACATACGCACACACAAAAAGGGATGCCCTAAAAAGACGGACCCAAGTGGCTGTGTCTTTCTTTGAGGGTACCCCGTTTTGGAGCAGCCTCCTCTTTTTCAGACCGCATTTCGGCTCAAGTTCGCGGCACTTCGAGGATTTTTTCCATCGAGGTGTTGCTGCGGGCCCCTGCCCGCCGTTTAGTTTGTCGAGCCACTTCCTGCACGTCCTGCTCTTCCTCTCTGCTCTCAAGCCATGCGCTTGACATGGCTGCTTTTGCTGGTCGAGGCTCTGTGATTTCAATGGAGAAAGGTCTTGGATAAGTCGTAGTCCCCTTCAAATTAACATGGAACCCGAAAGGGAGTGCCCAAAAAGGAGATTTCTTTGGCAGGAGAGTACCAGTTTCTTCTACTTCTCGGAGGAGAGGTGTAGCCAGCCAGCAGAAGACCACTCCCGATTGTCGCAGCCAGGAAACGACCCAGGCGTTTTCAGGAAGCCTCGAAACGCATCCTTTTTGGATCTCATCTCGTCTTGGCCGAACAGTAAGCTCACGCAGGATATGCCTCAAATTTAACATGAGCTCACTGGGGTAAAGCGACCACGATGAAGAGCTTTTTTTTTGGTTGCAGGTTTTGGACGTAGTGTAGAATCTGAATCTATGCTTTTCTATCTCTTTGCCTTTTTGTCTTTCCTTCACTTCTCCTTTGATTCAGCAACCGGTTGTCGCTTTTTGCAGGGTCCCGGCTGGATCCACCCGGCGTTTTGGATTGGATGTTTTGATGTTTTCTTTTGCGGGGACATCCGGAGGCCGCCGCCCTTCGTTTGGTGGGGCGTTCCCCAGCTAGGTCCACCAGTAGTGCCCTTTTCCCAACTTTTTTTTGGGGAGGGTTCCGCTAAAATAGACTGCAGCAAAAAGTTGGTACCAACTTATTCTAACCTCTCAAATCTGGACCCAGCCAGTTGAAAGCAGACGGACCGCCAGCCCACGGCAAATGGAGTCCTCCCCCCCCCCCCCTTTTCCCGAGCGAGCGGGAGGCGTGGGCCCAGCTGCCCGCCGCGGACCTGCCGATGCCGCCCATGGCCTCGGAGGCGATCATCGGGCCCACGCTGAAGGACTCCAAGAACTCCTGGCCCAAGAAGCGCCAGGTGGGGAGTTGAGTTGACGCGGACGGGGTGGGGGATGTAAGGGTCCCAAGAAATCTGGCGGGTTCTATGTCACTCCAAAAGGGAAAATCGTTGCAGTTTCCCCGGTGAAATCCACCGTTCTATCCTACTAAGTTGGTGGAGCATCCAAGTGGGGCTTCGGGTAACCTTGGTTTGGGGAGGTGAGCCCCTGGCTTTTGTAGAGGGTAAATGAGAAACCCCTCCTTGACCACCAAACCACCAATCCAAGCCTGCAATTGTAATTCTTGGCTTGTGGATTTGTATTGGCGTTTTGGGTATTTGAACCCTTGGTTCTTTAGAGGGCAAATGGAAGCTCCCCCCTGACCACCAAACTGGGTTGGGATGACTTGGGTGACTGGTCTCTTGTTGAGGCTCTGGGGAAAACACCAACATATTTCCTCGCCCCCTTCGGGCTATTAAGGGTGACTAAGAATATGTCAGAATTGGCCCCTGTGGGTTTTAAAGGGAATCGATGCCGCCGCTGTGGCACACTGTGGCCGCCCGTCCGGCCGTTCCAGTTTGGGGGGATTGCCCCAAACCCCCAAACCTCCGGCGTGGTTTGTTGGAAGCGGGTTCCAGAAAGCTTCAAACAGACCATCTTGGGGCTTTTCTCTATGGGGCTTGCCGTGGTGGTTCCAATGAGTTCTTTTGGTCGGCCACTGATCCAATTTTTGCCGTTGGTTTCTTTCTGGCGAAAGAGTCTGAGCTCCGTGCCTGACTGCGGATGCACCGCAGATCTGGGGACGGGTCAGTTGGGCGCCCCCGCCAAACAGAGAACACAAAAAGGGGGGCGAAAACCAGCGAGGACAAGGACAGCGCAAAGGGTTTCACCCAAAGGGCCGGACATTTGGGTAAGCCAAGCCAAGCCAGTGGCAATTTCTTCTTGTTTCTTGACAACTCCTTTGAAATCGACCAACAAGAAGGCAGTTGCCCTGAAGTCAAGTTGCGAAGAAATGCAGCGCAATCGAAGTTGCAATTCTCAAGATGGATGGACTGGCTCTCCACCTTTGGGGTGGGGGGCTGTTGGGGACACATTTTTCAAACCTGCCCTTCCCTCCCTCCCTCCCTCCCCCCTCCCCCCCTCCCTCCCTCCCTCCTCCCCCCCCCTCCCCCTCCCTCCCTCCTCCCTCCCTCCCTCCCCCCCTCCCTCCCTCCCTCCCTCCCTCCCTCCCTCCCTCCCTCCCTCCCTCCCTCCCTCCCTCCCTCCCTCCCCCTCCCTCCCTCCCTCCGCCGAGGTCCCTCCCTCCCCCCTCCCTCCCTCCACTTCCCTGCCACCTGCCTCCCCTTTACCTTCCTTTTCGAGGTCTTACCCAAGGGCGCGCCCAACATCCTGCTGATCATGAACGATGACGTGGGCTTCGGCGCCTCCGACACCTTCGGGGGGCCCATCCACACGCCTTCCATGTCGCGGGTGGCCACCAAAGGCGTGGCTACGGGGAGGGCAAGGGAGATGATAGATGATAGATAATAGATGATAGATGATAGATGATAGATGATAGGTGATAGATGATAGATGATGGATGATAGATGATAGATGATAGATGATAGACGATGGATGATAGATGATGGATGATAGATGATAGGTGATAGATGATAGATGATAGATGATAGGTGATAGGTGATAGATGATAGATGATAGATGATAGGTGATAGGTGATAGATGATAGATGATAGATGATAGATGAATAGATGATGGATGATGGTTGATGGATGATAGGTGATACGCGAAATATGATAGATGATATATTATAGATGATAGGTGATAGGTGATAGATGATAGATGATGGATGATAGATGATAGATGATAGATGATAGACGATGGATGATAGATGATGGATGATAGATGATAGGTGATAGATGATAGATGACAGATGATAGATGACAGATGAGAGATGATAGATGATAGATGGTGGATAGTGGATGATGGATGATGGATGATGGATGCTAGATGCTAGATGCTAGATGCTAGATGATTGATGACGGATGACGGATGACGGATGACGGTTGACGGATGACAGATGACGGATGGCGGATGACGCATGACGCATGAGGGATGAGGGATGATGGATGATGGATGATGGATGATGGATGACGGATGACGGATGCCGGATGCCGGATGACGGATGACGGATGACGGATTTCGGATGACGGATGACGGTTGACGGATGACAGATGACGGATGACGGATGACGCATGAGGGATGAGGGATGAGGGATGATGGATGATGGATGATGGATGATGGATGACGGATGACGGATGATGGATGACAGGTGATAGGTGATAGATGATAGATGATAGATGATAAGTAAGATGTAACATAATATAGTGTTAGTACATATGTGTAAATACATAAATAAATAAATAAATAAATAAATAAATAAATAAATAAATAAATACATAACTATATATATATATGGTATCGATATTTCCTTGGACAGGTTTAGCCATAGAGGTTCAAACTTCGAAAGAGGGGGGGCAGGCTGTTTCGCAAGTTGGGGCCAGGTTGGTGCAGGTCGGTTAGGGCGCTGTTCGGGGTGCGCTCAAGGTGCTGTGATGGTTGCCGGCGGAGCTTGTTTTGCGATGCAGTCAGGGTGCTGTTGCAGGTGCTCGTCAGGGTGTTGTTCTGGGTGCTGGTCAGGGTGCTGTTTGGCGGGCTCAAGGTGCGGTGGCAGTTGCTTGTGGTGCTTCTTTGACGATGCAGGCAAGGTGTTGGGACTGTTGTTGATACGCTCAAGGTGCGGTGCTTGTTTGGCGTGCAGGAGGGTTCTGGTCCGGGTCAGGGTGCCGCTTGGTGTGCTTAAGGTGGTGTGGTGGCGGTCGCTTGTTGCGCAGCCAAGGTGCTGGTCAGGGTGCTGTTGTAATCTCCCATGCTATCTGGGAGCTACTGTGGATGGACGAAATCCTGCACCACCAAACAAAGCCTGGAATGATGATTCCCCTGCAAATACCAACAAACAATAGTTTCCCATGGTTTCAAAGTGGTGCGAAACGGATTTCGCAACCATCCACAGCATGTTTTTGTTTCTTTCTTTGGTTGGGAACCCCTGCTGGCTCGCAAGAACCTGAGCCATGGGAAGCTGATTTGGACGAATCCTTGGCTTCAACCACCCAAACTCGGTGAACCAGCCGCTGAGGGACGGGTGGGTTGGGTTTTTTCAGCTCCCAGAGGACCCTTGTAGACAATATGAGTGTGTCGCGTTCTAGAAACCCCCAAGCAAAAACAAAGAACAGAAAAACAGAGACAATGGGGAGGTGGCTTTCGTCTTGGTTTCCCTTTGGCACTAAAGGGGTAGCCTCAAAAAGAGAAAGCTTCAAGAACCCCAAGGAAACCCGTCTCTCTCCCCCGAAAGGAAAGGAAGCAGCACTTGTCTATTTTAGGGGTTTTTTGTGGATAGGCTTAAGTTTGAAGGGAGCCCAAACAGACGGGTCGGCGTTTTCTTTGACACAAATGGGGGGGGGGGGGTGTAAAATACGTCAAAGGGCGCTTCTGGCCTCTCAGGTCATGACACGCAGCCTTTGATTCTTTAGGCGGCAACCCACCAGGAATTTCGACAGCTGCTCAACTAGCTCCTTTTTTTTTGACGTGCGTCTGTCATTTTTTATGAATAAGGCTCTGATCTTCTGTTTGTTTGTTCTTCTTGGGGAACCCTGTTTTGTTTGAGTTCCCGGTTTTTTGAATGTCTGTGTCTTGAATCCCCTCCAAAAAATGTCAGAGTCACAGGATGGGAGTATTTTGGTGAACTGCATCAGCGAAAGGTCTCCAAAACGACCGAGTCGCATGACTTCTCTTGGTATCCAAACAAGCAAAACTCCCTTGCCCCAACCCGACCTTTTGACCTTTTCAGTTTCCCCTTTTTTGGCAACCCATTTTTCGGTCCTGGCCCCAAAAGGTGATTTCGCCTTCTATTTCCGGGTCCGACCTGGGCAAACCCAAAAAATCCCGCCGTCCGCCGCCGGGCGTCATCGGCGTCACAGGCGTGACCTACAACCGGTTCCACAACACGGCCATCTGCTCCCCGACCCGCGCCAGCCTCATGACGGGGAGGAATTCCCACGCCGTGGGCACCGGGCAAATCACCGAGGCGCGAGAGATGTGTCCACCGTCAACTCTCTCCACCCCCGTTTTGGTGTGGATCTTTTCACAGGGAAACCAAAACGGGATTCGGATTTTTCATCCCAGCCCCGGTTTGTGTTTTTTCGAGGGAAGCCTTCTCATTAGGTAAGCCCCGGCGGTTGGTTTGGATGGGTGGCTTGGATTTGGATTTGAACCCCTTCTAGAGGGCAAATGGAAATCATTTTTGCCGGTCCAAGCCACTAAACAGAGGGAAGCCGGGTCTGTTCTTTCCAAAGCGATGAGGGGCCACTTTTCGTGACAAAAAGCGGAGGCAGTCCCCTGGCAACGGGTGGGTTTTGGCGGATCCTTCCTGCTTGGGTTCCGAAGTGTAAAATGTTGGTTCTCAGCATGACCCAGTGCATTCCCAAGCCCAAGTTGATTTTGGGGACTTTTTCTGGGGCCTGAAGGGTATACAATGATCATGACTTTCAGTTAGGTTCATTCCCAGAGCCGACATTCTCGAACCAGCACGTTGTTCCAGGTAGAATTCTAACGTCTCAGGTAACCCCACATCGGTGGTCTATACCGGTTTGGACATTTGAAACCCGTGGCGAAATTGAGCGCAAATGGAGTAATTCTAAAAAGTCCCTAACCTCCAAACCCATCCAAGCTGCCAACATGTGGTTCTTGCTTCAATGGAGGAAACCAATGCATAAAACGACAGTGGCGCCCTTTTGGTCCCTCTTTTTTGACACCTCTTTTTTGTTTTGACGTCTGACAAGTGGTTGGTGGACGACCTATGTGATATCCACCAGAGGATTCCTCAGGAGAATTCATCTCCAACTGCACCCCAGGATTGCTGCCCTGTTCTTGGATCAAGTTGTTTCTTCTTCTTTTTTGGGTTCCCCTTCATTTTCAGGGGCCCTGCCAAAAAAACACACCCGTCCGATTTCCTTTTCTCTCTTCTTTTGCTGCGGCCAGCCATACCACGGGTTTCTTTCTGCGAAAGAAACAAGGTCCGATTTTTTTCCTTCTTTGGCTGCGGCCAGCCAAAAAATCTTTTTGCGGAGAGGCGGCCGCGGGCTTCCCGGGCTACACGGGGCTCATCCCGAAGAGCGCCGCCACGGTGGCCCGGGTGCTGAAGGACTACGGCTACGACACCGCGGCCTTCGGGAAGTGGCACAACACCCCGGTGAACCACCTCTTCAAGACCGGGACCTTTGGACAAAAACTCGGGGGGGGGGCTTCCTGACCGGGACCTCTGGACAAAAACTCAGGGGGGGGGGGGCTTCCTGACCGGGACCTTTGGAAAGAAAAAGCTCGGGGGGGGGGGGGGCTTCCTGACCGGGACCTTCGGAAAAACACTCGTGGGGAAGGGGGAGGGGGGAGGGGATTTTGCGTATGATATGTTTTTGGACCTTTGGATAGAAATGGGGAAACAGTCGCGTGTTGCTTTGATTTTATTTTGGGAAACGAGGGAAAACGAGGGAACACGCGGTGGATGTGTTTTGTTTGACCTTTGGAAAAACTCGACACACGTTTTTTTGAAATAGGGAGATCTTTGGAAACAAGTAGCAACCCGTTTTGTTCTTTTGTTGGGGGGGGACCTTCGGAAGCAAACACAACAAAGAGTTGTTTTTTTCTTTTTCCTGGGACCTTCGGAAGCAAATAATCAAATCAAGTTTATTTATTTGTTTCTCTCTCTTTTTTTTCCCGGATCTTTGGAAGCTAGACAATCATATTAAGATGTAAACAAGAATCCGATGATCTGTTATCTCCTTTCTTTCTTGTTGTACCTCCAGAACCAGCCGGTAGACCACCTGTCGCTCACGTGCGAATGAAGGAATGAGCCAGTTTCTCGCTGCAACTCGCTAAGACTTCCGTACCAGGTATTTCCAAACTGTTATTTGTTCTTTATTTTCCTTGTGGGGGGAGGGGGGACCTTTGGGAAAACAACAAGCAGCAAGTAGCAACACATTTCTTTATTTGGGACCTTTGGGGGCAAAACAGCCAACAGTATCTATTTTAGTATTTTCTTTTTAATTAGAGAAATATATTATGGATGGTGTTTACGTTATCTTCATTCTAATGGTGCATCATTTGTCTTTCTTTTTATATTTCTACATCTTGGAAGAGCTATATCTTATGCTTCATATTTTTATAATCCTAATACTTGGTTTTCTGGAATTATTATTTACTTCTTTTTAATGGGAACAGCATTTATGGGTTATGTTTTACCGAATGGACAAATGAGTTAATTACCAATTTATTATCTCCCATTCCATCTTTAATAGAATGGCTTTGTGGAGGACATTATGTTTACAATCCAACATTGAAGAGGTTCTTTGTCTTTCATTTTCTATTTCCATTTCTTCTTTGTGGTTTTGTTCTTTATCCTATTTTTAATCTACATTTTTTATCTTCTAATAATCCTAACAGGAATTCCACTAATAATAAAATAGCATTTTTCCTTTCATCATTAGTAAATATTTCTATGGAAAGATATTGATTCTCTATCTATATCTTCTTCAAATTACCTCCGGGTTCTCTTCCTTCTCACATCCAGATAATGCATTAGAAGCATGTGGATTACTAACTCCTTTACATTTCGTACCTGAATGGTATTTCTTATGCCAATATGCTATGATAAAAGCTGTGCCAAATAAGAATGCAGGTATCATTATCTTATTTACTTCTATCTTCTTCTTATTTTACTTTATGAGAAGTCCCTCTTTTTCATTCTATTTTGTAATATTTACATCTAGTAGATTTAATGGTTTTTATCTGTGCTTTTGGTTTCTGAATCTCTTTTCTTTTATTTGGATAGGTGGTCAATTTCCTGCAGACAACTTTCTATCTTATGGTCGTATCTTGACATGTAATTTTTTATTATTATCTTCTTATCTGTATCTTATTGTCTTTTTATTTGGATTTCTTCCAGACACAAGAATAGACACATTTTCTTAAACCTCCCAACACATATTCAAGAACGGGACCTAGATGTTCTCTGGTTTCTTGATATGAGCAACGGACAGTCTTAGCATGGTCAATTCGGACACACCCACACTCACGCCTTGCCAGTCTTGGGTTCCCCACAACACGAGGGGTCCTACCCACTTCACTTGACATATGAGCCACAATTGATTCCCGGGTTGGGGTAGTCCCAGCCAGAAACAGGTGCGGGCGCAGTCCTTACATGGATTGGGGACCTTTTTGATACCAATCGGTCTTGATCGTGACGATGTCCAAATCTCTGCATTCCCCCAAAACCTCGCTGCGTTTGAAGCTTGTCCTACCAAAAAAGAAGTGCATCAACAAAAACAAAATTCCAACTCGGGCAGTCAGATGCTGAAACCTTCCTGACACTCCCAAGCCAATTCGGGCACACAAGAGCCTTGCCAGTCCTCTGGTTCCCCCCAAAACGAGGGGGTCCTACCCAGAAGCATTCGTAGATTTGTAGTGACTTTGATGAGGTACCCTCCCCACCAACTAACATGGAAGTGCAAAAAGGCCCTTTCCAATCAGAAAGTAGTCTTTCTACCGAAAATCTGTGCACAAACCCCTGGAATCGCTGGTGAGAGGCTAACCAGCACGTTTCCTATCTCCCCATGGCTTGTCCTGAGGCCCTTTGATCAGTATCCTACGGGCTTGGGCTTCAGCTACTTCTACGGCTTCCTGGCGGCGGAGACCTCCCAATACGAGCCCCGGTTGTTCGAGAACACCAACCCCATCGAGCCGCCCGTTTGGAAGGACGGGGGGGGGGGTGGCGGAGAGGGCAGGGAATGGGGGGAAGGCGGGAAGGAAGGGGCGTGGCGCGGTTTTATGGGGCTGGTTTACCGTCACTCCCACTAACATGGCATGTGTGGGAGGGTACCTGGAAGATCATGTTCCTCTGGGGGAGGAAACGGGTAGTTGGTACCTTCCTGGTAGTTGAAAAAGGAAGATGGTCTTCAGGACACCTGGGTCAGGTTGGCTAGCGGATAGGAGGGGTGCCCTTTTTGGAGGTGAAAGGGGGAAACCAAGCGCGGGCCGGGGGCCTTCAGATATGAGACATCTACACTGGGATGCCTTTTGTTTAGGCCATTTAGCCCACATTTTTCAACTTTGTGTTTAGGCTGTTTAGCCTAAATTGGGGAAAAACAACACCAACTGGACTATGGCATGATTTTGAGTTTTGCCAGACTCCCTAGATAGCACGAGAACAAACGTCTCAAAGTGGAGCAAACTGCACAAGAGTTGACGCAGTGGAGCCCAACTGCAAAGCATTGGCCCTGGGAAGTAGAAGGTCGGGTGCCTGCCCCCTTGACCCCGCTTTCGGTTTTCCACAAAAAAACGACTTCACTAAGGCCGTCTCCTCACTTCTCACGGTCTTGTTTGGAACCCAGGAACATTCTTGGCGGTTGGACGCAGGACAGGCCCTACCATCTCACGGAGGACCTCGCGGACCGCGCAGTGAAGTTCATCAAGGACAACCGCGCCTTGACCCCGGACCGGCCCTTCTTCATCTACTTCGCCCCCGGCGGTACCCATGGGCCTCACCACATCTTCAAGGAGTTTTGAGAAACGCGATGCCCACCTCGAAACCGGCACCCAATAAAGCGAGAACCGCCGTTGAAACCGCTCCCAGGTAGTATTTGCGGGGTGTGCAGCTAGTGGGCGGCGAACCCTCCAAACCAAGCACCAGGATGGTTTTCCCTTACCCCAAGAGTGCCTGTTCAACAACCAAGCGTTTTCCAGCACCACCCCAAAGAAACCGGCCCCTTGAACTTCCCAAAGTTCAAGCCACCCCAACCCCACCGCCAAACAAAAAAAGATACGAAAACGCGGCCGGACAGCCAGCGAGGAGTGGGCGGACAAGTACGCGGGGAAGTTCGACATGGGCTGGGAGAAGCTGCGCAATCTCACCTACGAGCGCCAGAAGACGATGGGTTGCTTCCATTTGCCGAAGTTTTTTTTTCTTTTTTTTTTCCCCCTTGTTGGTTTTGAAGGGAATCGATTTCGCTACTGGACATATTTTTTCTCATGTTTTCCCGGGGGGGAACCAGCAAATGGCTCAGGTTGGATTCCCCAGAGCGCCGAGCTCACGAAGATCGATCCCACCATGGAGAAGTGGGAGGACCGATCCGCTTGGGAGGATCTTGTGCGAGAAGGGTGAAGGAATGGGTTAAAGTTTGCCCTCTAGACATGTTTGGCCAGTTTAAGTTGGATTGTTTTTGCTTCCCTCCCTTCAAGTTTGGGTTGTTGTAGGCCATTAGAACAGGGATCCTCAGAGTTCCCCCCTTGTTTGTCTTCGCTACTAGAACATGGAAGCCCATATTGCCCCTTAACGGGTGGTTTCAAGGATGGACGCTGGCTTGGTGACATGGTTTCCCATATGACAGTTGGTTTACGAGGAAAGGGACCGTCGGACCACCCCCATTTTGAAAGGAGGTGCTTGAATTGGAGGATCCCCGCAGTCTTTTTTCGAAGGGGCGGTTTTGATAAATCATCTCAAGTGATTTTCCTTGTGGCGGGGTGGGTTGGTTGGGATGCTTGAAATGGGGGGGGAGAACAGTCGAGCGGGTTGTTTTCTTAACATGAGGAGCGAGGGTCTGATTTTTTGTTTTGCTGGAGGCTTGGTTGGGGGTGCTTGACATGGCGTTCCGATATTTCCCCTTACCGAGTGGTTTCCCGCAGCGCCGGGTGCTTGAAAGCATCACCAGTTCCAAGATCAATTTGAAGTGAGGTTCCCTGCGGTGAGGTGGTGATGTTTGAAGAGGCCATGCGAGATCAGCAAGGGGGGGGTCCTTTTTTCTGGGTTTCTTTTCTTGTAGGGGACGCCCCCGATCACTGACTGGGAGAAGGTTAACATGAATGTGGCTTCTCTAACTTTATCCTTAAAGGGTGACTTCAGACATTTGCGCCTTTGGGCCAATTTTTGAGTTTCCCAGGCCATTGTTGAAAACGGGTTCACGTAAGGAACCCTTTGCTCGAGAGAGCAGTTGAGCATTCGGGTTCCGTTTTTTTCTTTTGTTTCTTCTTCTTTTTGAAAACCAAAAAGGAGTTACCGTTGAAGCAATAAGGGTGCGTGGCCACCAACACCCAACAGGGACAGCTTCACATTTGGCTTGTTTCTGGCCCACAAATTGTGGGATTCCGTTTGATTTCCCTTTAACCTAGCCATATTTAGTCCACAACCAGGCAACAAGGTACCAAGCCTCCCCCCCCCACTGGAGGACATTCCGGAACCGCAGCGCGCCTTCCAGCTACGCCTGATGGAGGTGAGGTTTCGAGGTTTCCATGTTTCTGGTCCGAGTCAGGTCCAAAAGAAGCTTCTTCGTTTTTTGGGCGGATTTTTTTTGGGCCTCACGATGGCCAGCAACTTGTTGTTAACAATCTCGATCATATTCTTCTTCACCCCCCCCCCCGGCTCCCAAAAAAAATCCCTGAATTGGTGGCATCGCTCGACCTACCCGTTGCTTGTTTTTCTTGGTACGGGTATGTGCCGAAGCAGGCCGACCTTTCCAAACCTTAGTCTGGCGGCAAAAAAAAACACAAAGCCCATTTTCTGCGGCCCCCTACTGAAAACGAACAGAGCAAAACAGAGACCTTTCCAAACCTTAGTCTGGCAGCAAAAGAACATTTTCTGCGGCCCCCTACTGAAAATGAACAGAGAAACAAAAAACAGGCACCTTTCCAAACCTTAGTCTGGCGGCAAAGCAACACAAAACCCTCTTTTTCTGGGGCCCCCTGCTGAAAGTGAACAGAATCAAAAAACATCACACAAGCTTGAGAACAACACAAACATGGCAAGACGGTGTGCCCTCTGATCTCCCTGAAGCCGTACAAAGTTTCTGACACCCAACACAGCCAGGGTTCGAGGGTTCGCCACAAGCAAGACCTTCGCCAAGCCCGCCTTGCGGAAACCAAAAGAGACATGAAACCTGCAAGCCAAAAGCCGATGAGACCCGCCAAAAAAGGGTTCCGACAACCTGGGGGGGGGGGGGGGGTGATTTGAGGGCGCCCTTTTTTTGCTTGGTTGAAAGGGACACCACAAGACAAGCCACAGTTTTGGCCCCACCCCCCCGATGTTGACCATTTTATGTTTACTTTGCCCGCAAAGTGAATATTGCCGGCTCAGGTGTACGCGGGGTATTTGGAGCATACAGACACCCAGCATGGGAAGATCTTGGACGAGTTGGAGCGGCAGGGCCTCTTCAACAACACCTTGACCCATGGCAGCCATGGCAAATGATACGGAGCTCACCTAGAACCAAATCGAGCGAACGGCTTTTGACTGATGGGCTCACCGATTCGATCGGCGGCATCGTTTCCATGGGAAACCCCCAAGGTCTGACCAAAAAGTGTCCCCGAAAAGGCTCCGGGCTTTCTTTGGCTTGACAAGGTGACCCCTCGATTTCCTCAGAACCGACAACCCGGCCAACACGAGACAACACATGGGCAACAACACGAATCCGGATGTTTAAGCAGCGACGGTTGAAACAACTTCTTCGTGAGAGGCTCTTTGAAGCTTGCTGAAGTGGGTCTGGTGGATTACACAAGTTTGCAACCAACTCTGTCTGCGAGACAGATGGACTTGTCTCGAAAAGGTGACCCCCCAGCAAATCTTCATGTTTGTCCGTTTTCCTTTTGACATACGCCAGAATCGGCACCATCCCACGCCCACACGCTTGAAGCTCAGGATTCACAGTTACCCAATATACGCATCGGTATGTTGGTATTGGAATGGGGGCATGCCACGAACGAAACACCAAGCAAGCAACCAACACATCAGCTGTTGTTTGCTGGGATTGTCTTTCTTCCAGAACCCCCTGATGAATCACTGGGGGGTTCTTGCTGAGTCACCACCCCCTGATTCGAATCACTGGCGTGTTATTGCTTGGGGTGGTTTTCACTTGATCTAGGGTGCAAACTAATTCGATTGAGGTCGTGCTTGGAAGCCACATTCAGTCATGAACAAAAAGTAACCATGATTTAGGTCCTTGCATAAATCTGAAGAACCAAGAATTGCTTCAACTTCCACAGCAAACCACCCAGAGAAGTCCCACACCCTTCTGTCAGCTTCCATGAAGGTACACGAATGAATCGTGGCTCCCATTTTTTTGGATGCAACACCAAAAAACACATCCAAACACGGAGAGGAAGTACAAAATCCATCTTTTCTTTTTTTGTACGAACAGCGCCGAGGATCATCTACATCATGGGCGACAATGGCGCCAGCGCGGAGGGAGTGCACGGCACCATCGACGAGATGCTCTTGGAGAACTCCCTGCCCTCCACGGCGGGCCAGCAGATCGAGGCCAGAGCCTCCGCCCCCCAAAATAACGCGCGCGGGTTGGTTTCGGGCGAAAGGGGAGCAGCGGAAAAGGAGGTTTGGATCCACCGAGTTTAGGATACTAAGAAGAGTGCTAAAAGAACACTAAAGAAGGACCAGGGGGAAGGACAGGTGAAATCAACACGTAAGTGGATGAGCTTGTGATCTGAAATCCAGTGACCCCTGTATACAGTTTTGCAGGTACTTCCAATCCAGCCCCTGTATCATAAAGTTTTTCAGATACTTGGGGTGACTGGAGTTTTCCATCTTTTCGGCGAGCTTCCTTGCTTTTTTCCGGAGGGGAGTCAAGGGTCAAGGCCAGTTGGATCGATCCCAAGTTCCGCCGGTTCTAGGTGAGTTTCATGGAAGGTTTGGCAAACCAAAAGGGACACTGCAATTTTGGGGAGCCCCCCTGTTTTCATGGTTGTTGGTTGAAGCATTGGAAACAGGTTTGCTTATTGTGGTTGAATGTGGTCAAAATCCAACCACCTAACTGCTAAAATATGAGATTTTTTGCTCCCCAAACCCAACGTCAACCAAGGTTTGGCGAGGAACACCTGGCGCTAGTTTGGACTGGTTTGATTCCATTCACCGGGGCCATCCATTTACGGGTCACCTATGCTTGGAGCTGTCGCCAAATGGTTCAGGCGAATTTCTCAGGTTTCTTCATTGGTGAAGAGCATAGACACAACAACAGGCAACCTTGGACTGGTTGTGGGAAAAATGGGTTGAGGGGCCATTTTTTGGAGTGGCCAACCTCGCGGAAGAAAGTGGTCATAGGAAATCTCATCTTTGAGCTACAATCAGCATCGATTCGGCAAAGCGAAGGGCTGCACTGCTGTTGGCATGTTGGCTACTTCACTGTTCTTGGCATGTTCATTTTTTTGGTTCTATTCATTGTTCGCAAGGCGTTTTGTGCTGCCATACGGGTTGGAAAGGCTACCGTGCATTCTTTACATCGGTTTTTGGGTAGGGTTTTGGTTTCTGTGCGGTTTCGCCAAGGGATCCGGGGCTGAAAGTGACCAAAGTATCGGACAGGGAATCCCATTTTGGTATCACCACAATGATTTTCCAGTCAATTAGTTAGTTAGTTAGTTAGTTAGTTAGTTAGTTAGTTAGTTAGTTAGTTAGTTACTTAGTTGCTTAGTCTGTCTGTCTGCCTGCCTGCCTGCCTGTCTGTCTGTTTGTTCGTTCGCTTGCGTGTTGGTTTGTTTGTTTGTTTGTTTGTTTGTTTGTTTGTTTGTTTGTTTGTTTGTTTGTGTGTTTGTTTGTTTGTTGGTTTGCTTGTTTGTTGTTTGTTTGTTTGTTTGTTTGTTTGCTTGCTTGCTTGTTTGTTTGTTTGTTTGTTTGTTTGTTTGTTTGTTTGTTTGGTTCTTTGTTTCTTTGCCTTTGTTATTTGTGTGTGTGTGTGCGCGCACGCGCGTGTGCGTGTTTGTTTGTTGGTTTGCTTGCTTTGTTCATATATATATATATATACATCAGAAGGACAAAAGTTTATGCCTCTTGATGGTTTCTGCAAAGCCGTGTGGATCTCCCGCGGATCGAATTTCCAACTCCTTTTCATGTGGCAGGAGTGGGACGGTCAATTATCACCCTCTTTTAAATTTAAAATACTTTAAAGGCTTTGGAGTGTGACAATTCGACCGCGAATGACCCAGCAACAACTTGCAGGATTCTAGGGGGAAAGGGTTGCTTTTTGTGGGAAGGCCCAAGAGGCACAACTTTTGTCCTGGTGGTGCGTCACGGGAGGGGTGTTGGGTGACAGGCTGCAGACGAGTGATTCTCAATTTTTGTCAATGTGCAGAACTATGTGTTTGGACCTTCCCTTGAAACCGTTGCGAGGATCAGACACTTGAAGAGGCAAGCAGACACGCGACGGACATGTTTGTACTCAGCCAGAGGACGCAGCGCCGTCTTTGCGGACCACTTCCCGGCAAGTCTTCATGTAGGCCCTGGCGATTCGCTTTGCGGTCGCCTGTGCGTGGGCAGATTTCAGAACTGCGCGGACTCGGGCCTTGTAGGCCATCTTGCTCAGGCAAGGCTTCCTGTTCAGGGCATCCTTGAGGTCCATCTTCCGAAGCCGCTTCTTGAGGTAGCCCCAAAATCTTTCAATGGGGTTCAAATCTGGTGACTTGGGCGGGATCCTCCAAAGGCGAACGTTCACCTTGCGATACTCGTCTTGGCACTGTCTGGCTGCCAGAAACCGTTCGTTGTCACAGAGCAAATGCCAAGGTCCATCGGCTTTCACAGGGTCCAGGGATTTCAGCGCAGACACAAACCTCCCAGACTTCATGACATTGACCCACTCACCCTTCGTCAGCTTCTTCTTCAAGTGAAACGTCACAGCTGCGAACCCACCTGCGCTGAGGCCACCCCATAGAGGGACACATCGGTCAATCGGGCATTGCTTTGAAAAACCATCCTGCCCGGCCAGGGAAGGTTCCAACCTCTCTGACCTCAGGCGCCACATGTGTGTCTGCGAGTGTCGCAAGTGGTTCAAGCGGTCGGTAAGGTCCCTTGGTGGCATGGTCAGTACACAGCCATCCATTGAGAACGACAGCTTTTCTCGCAGCCTGCGCGCGCCCAGGTTCAATACAGACTGCGCAAAGGCCTGTCGCTCACGCATCTGCTGCGCGCTGTACTTCCGCTTCTGCCCTCGGGGTAGCCACTTGTAGCCCTGCGACAGCAAGAACTTGCGCACAGTGGATTCTTCCACTTCAACGCCTTTCTCCTTGGCCAGCTCCGTCTGCAAGGTTTTGCTGGTGCAAACCAATTCCTGTCTCAACTTCTTCAGCCTGCGCAGCAAGAAGTTCTTGGAGTCTTCGGTGAGCTTCCAGGGACGGCGGCCACACTTCTTGTAGCCAGACTGCTTTCGGCCTTGTTGATGGGAAAACAGCTTGTAGTACTGACCACAAGTTCGTCTTGATGGCCGCTTCCCAGCTAGGTTCTTCACCTTCCGGGCGATTTGCGGGAATGTCAACCCATGCACATCTCGTAGAATGACCACCTTGCGTTGGTTAGCAAAATCCAGCCCTCGTGGATGCACGCTCTCACTCACAACGACCATCTCAGGTGAAACAGCCGCTCGCGTGCTGCAGGTGTGGGAAGCTTGATCCAGCAGAGGCGGCACCAACGCACCAGACTGCAGCAGAAGGCTTTCAAGATGCGGTAAAGGGACAGCAGAAAATGACAGACACGGATCCCTTATGGAGACGCCAAAGCCCCTAGAGCCCAACCCAGTGGCAGCGCCAAACACTTTTGACTCAGATGACACACGGCGTTAGCAAACGTCAGCTTCGTGCAGGCAGAGAATTAATAGCGAATTACGGCACAGCCGGTGGCCATTCCACGACCTCTCGGTTCTGTGGCCTGCTGAGCCAGTCATTGCTTTGCAAATGACCAAGGTTCTGTGTTGTGAAGTTAATGGTGACCACGGTTGGTATCTTAAAGAGGTACTTGGTGTAGAAACAAGTTCCCCCTTGCGTGGTTGCGAATTCAATCCGGCTGTCATACTTGCCCTGAACCTTTTCTTGGTGCATGACTAGAAACTCCAAGTCACGCACATCGTCAAGAATCAAGGCATCATGACAACCACGCTTGAACTCCACCATCTTGGAAGGAAACACCTCGCTCTTGCCAACCTTCAGCTCCAATGGGTTCTGGAAGAGGCTCTTGGCGTACTCTGTCTTGCCGGACGCAGACGCGCCGATCAAGATAAGCAACGGGTAGCGCAAGAGGTCGGAGTTGAAGTTTCCCAGCCACGCTGTCACGGCGGGCACCACTGGGAAAGGCTTGTACAGCGAAGGGTTGCCTTTGATTCGCTTCACAACCTGGTCGATCTCAGCTTGCTCGACCCGCGCCTCGCCCCAGGACTTGCAAGCGTCCAGGTTTCGCTTGCGAGCCTGAACGCCATCCCGGGCCAAGAACAGGTACTCCTCATAGACGGCATCGTCCAGCTTGTAGTGCTTCCAAAGAGATTCGGGCCATTTGCCTTGCACCCGGTACGTGGCGATGCCAGTAGCCTCACACCATGCCGGCATGTAGTTGCCTGCTACGCACTCCTTCCCCGAATCGTCCACCATGGTGCCGATCTTCTTTGCGAAGACATAAAAGAAGCCTCGATCCATGCTTTGCTGCGGATTCCTGCGCCCCATGCCCTCGCCCAGGTAATCATGGGCACTGACGTTGGGAACGATGCCTTCGAAGGAGAAAGAACGACTGGTTCTGTCCTGCTTCTTCCGGAACTGGAGCATGACATGCGAGTGTAGGCGCCCAGTTTTGCATTTCTCCAATGTTGCGCACCAGTACTTCACCTGCCAGGTTGACATTTTCTGCTGAACAAAGCAGGCAAATCTGCGCCACTGATCCAGGCCATCAAAAGATTGGTATGTGAGCAGAACTGCAGTGGCTTCAACCCGATAGCCAGCCTCACTCGCGCACGGTCTGCCTCTAGCATCTCTTTGACCCAAGGCGCTTTCCCACTCGGCCTTTGCTGCGCGCAACGGCTGAAGGTCCTGACCGTCACGGGATCTTGCAGCTTTGCGCAAGACCTTACTGCAGGCTTCGCGTAGGGCTTGTGGGTCAGAGTCTCGGTTGACGCCGGGTGCCACTTGGAGCAAGGCGGCTGCTGCCAAGAGGGCAGAGACAAAAGCGCGTTGGCATACTTGGAGGTGTGAAACCATGAGGAAGCACGAGAACTAACACCGGACCGACCTATCCTAGCACGAACTTGAGCGTAGAACAGGCCATGTTTTCAGTTTAACAAGACCAGCTGGATGCTTTCAAAGATGTGGCGGTGGACATCAGAAGGACAAAAGTTTATGCCTCTTGATGGTTTCTGCAAAGCCGTGTGGATCTCCCGCGGATCGAATTTCCAACTCCTTTTCATGTGGCAGGAGTGGGACGGTCAATTATCACCCTCTTTTAAATTTAAAATACTTTAAAGGCTTTGGAGTGTGACAATTCGACCGCGTGGCCCAGCAACAACTTGCAGGATTCTAGGGGGAAAGGGTTGCTTTTTGTGGGAAGGCCCAAGAGGCACAACTTTTGTCCTGGTGGTGTATATATATAGAGAGTTCTATGTTGTTTATTGTTGTTACCGTTGTTTTCCGGGGGGTGGGTGGGCGGTCTATTTTTCAGACCCATTGAGGTGCTCGATAAGGAGTTTGGAGGCCTCAGCGCGCTGGGAGGCCGGGCCCAAAGAAGCATTCGAAGTCGTCGGCACGCGACCACCGCGGGCAACTCCAACTCGTCGATCCAATTTTCAGGTAACCCTTAGTTGGGGCTTAGGATGGCACGCTTTCTTGTGGAAAGCCCTACACCAAGTTGGTTCTGAGGTTACATTTTTGTTTCCCCCCTAGTTTAAACCAGACTGCTCAGAGAAGCAGGTTGGCGCCAAACCCTTAGAGACCCAATGGGTTTTCATTCGGAGTTGTCCATGTTTGCTGTCTCCTGGTGATTTTTTGCCTGGTTTCTCCTTTTTCAAGTAACCTGTCAAGGGGTTTGGATTCGGATTTGAAGCCCTGCACTTTTGTAGAGGGTCTGCATGGGCAACCACTGCTAATGGGAAGTCTCACCATCCATACCAACCTGGCGGAAAGCACCGCGGCATAAATGGGTGTGCCTTTGTTTAGGATTCGGAGCCCCTACAATTGCTTTCCGTTGTCTTCCGTTCAAACCCACCAAAGAAGGTGTACCCAAAAAAAGACAGATGGTTTGAAGGGATCCTGTCACGACTGGACATATGTTTTCTCCACAAAACTCGAGCAAATGCAGGTCACCCTTTGGTCGAAGCCGCGGCTAGCGCAGTGAAACACACCAGCGCCTTTTGGTTGCCCTAGGGTTGACCCTCAATGCCAGATGGTTCGCATGTGTTTGGTTCCCACATTTTCCCTTCCAACCAGCAAAGAGTTGCCACTTTTCGCAGGGCTTTAAGGTTTGGCTCGATCGCTTCGCCCTGCAGGCCCGCAGGTGGACAACATGTATCATGCCTCGTGGCTCGGCGGACAGGGGCCCGCAAGAGCGAGTGGAGCTATTTCTGGACCCCTTTGGTAATTTCTATACCCGTACCCGCAAGGAAACCATGCCCTCGTTTCAAACATTAGTTTTTTTTTTTTTCTCAACAAAGACAAACACCTCTGGTTCGGTTTTTTCTCCGAAGCCTTGCATTTTGGGCTTTTGAGTTCAATCAAACTGGCGTGGCTCAAAATTAACCACTTGGGGCTTGTCCCGGGATTCGAGGCTTTGTTTCCAGAAAACGGTGCCATTTTGATTCTGGCAACGTACCTTCCTCATTCTCTTCAATGCTTCTCCAATTCGCCAAACTCCTGGGCTCCTGGGTGATGAGGTGAAAGTCGTATCTCTTTGAGTGATTCTTCGGAAATTCGCGGACTTGATCAGTTTTATGCCAAGCCGTCCATTTTGTGCGCCAAATTCGCATGATGTTGAAATGCCTTCAATGGTTGGCTTTGGGCCCAGCGCAGGAATGTGTTAAGCTTTGTTCCCCCACACCACGCCATCTTGGGGGCATTCCATACCGGAGGCTCTTTTTTTGGGCCTCCCATCCTAGACCGTGCCGGATCGCGCCCCGAAGCTTGGCGCTTTTTCCACTCTTCCATTTGATATGTTCCTGACAGGATGGCACCGCGGAGATCTGCCCACAAGAAACTCTCATTTTGGGTGCCCTTTGAAGGCCATGGTTTGAAGGCTCTTCTCGCCATGGCCTTCACACTTCCATCCGCGAACGTGGCAGGTGGGGGTTGATTCAGAAACCGGCTCTGTTCCCCCTGGGTTTTGGCTGGTTTCCTCAAATAAAAAGCCGATCCCTGGATTCGGAATGGAGATGGGAAAGGCACTTTGAGAGTGTGAGGTGGGCCTGGGCGCTGGACACGCCCTTCAAGAGCACCAAGCTGGTGGCCGCCCACTTCGGGGGAACCAGGACGCCCCTGGCCATCTGCTGGCCCAAGGCGGGCTTGGAGTCGGGGAGTCGGGGAGCCAGAGTCGGAAGTGGGGCGCTTGCGCGTTTTCTTCTTCTTCTTCTTCTTCTTCTTCTTCTTTTCGTTTTTTGCAGGTGGGGAAGGGGAAATGGGTGTGTCTAGTTTTTGGGGGGACCCCCCCTAAAATGTTGGTGTCCCCTTTCACAAACGCCCCCAAAAAAAGACAGACCCACATGGGCATCGGTTTCTTCTTTGCCTCTAAAAGATCATCTCAAAAAAAGGGGTAGTGTCAAAAAGACGTACACCCATTTGCTTAAGAATAATTTGTTGTATTTTTACCTGGGTAAGGGAAAGCCTAAACTTGGCTCACAGATTTAAGCTTCTTCCGTTTGCTTGAGAGTTTTTTGTTTTTGCCTGAGTTTGTGAAGGGACCTATCGCCACTGGACATATTCTCGTACGTTTTCCAGGGGACTTAAGCAAATGGAAGAGTGTCTTGAAGTAGAGAGCCTCTACTAAACCGTGGAGTTCCCCCTAAGCTGTTGTTCGGAGGTCATGCTTGCTTTACCCTCCCAGCCCACATGGAACTCCCCAGAGAGGCCCTTCTAGAAAAAAATGGTCCAAACCAGGCGCCAGGTTTCATGTTGCTAGAGACATTGGGTACCATAAGACATCGGATTCCAAATTTCCAGGTCAGGACACAATGTGTGTGTCTTTTCTTCGGGGGGAGCAAAGAAAGAAAGAAAGACGAGGAGTTTTTTTTTTTCTCTCTTGGCTTCTCTTGATAGGCGGCGCGACACAAAAAAGGGGTACCGAGCCTGACACAACGACGCCCCATGAGCGTTGATCGTCCTCGGCCGAGTCCTGAGGTGATCAAGCCGGACCCGAGACCTCGCAGCCAGTTCCACCACGTCGCGGACATCGCGCCCACCATCTACGAGGCGTGAGGCTTGGGGCGCTCGGCGCTTGCTTGGGGGAGAGATTGGGTGTCGAACCCAACGAGGAGGTCGCCAGAACCCGTTTGCAGGGTTCCTCTTCAATGCAACTTCGGCTTTTTCTCCGAGTTTCACCCGCCAGGGCAGCAGCTTCACTTCAATCTTAGCTTCTGGATTCATGCGGAACTAGTTCCCTTGTAGCAAGAAGCGGATATGGGCATGGGTCAAAATCGCATACCCCCAGTGAACATCCCAATCCAACCACTAACATGGGGTGGTGAAGCCACCTCCCAACCAACATGGGATCCCAAAACGGTTTTGACAACCACAGCCGTTTCGAGGCTTCGACTCTTGGTTTGGGTCCTCAGGGATGCCAAAAACCGCTGCGAGGCCATTGGCATTGAGGCGCCCGGGCATGTGGATGGGGTTGCGCAGCAGAAGCTGGATGGAATCTCTGCTATTGGATCTTTAGATTTTGTGTTTTTGGATTCCCCTTTTGGGATTCCCCTCATGTTTTCCTCTCGACCGGCAATTTCCGTTTATAACTTTTGGGCTGGGGGGATCACAAGGCAGCACCCAAGGAATCTCCATGGTCTACACCTTCAACAACGCCACAGCGGAGGAGAAGAAAGCGGCCCAGCGCCTCGATGGATTTTACCCAAACCCGGCCCCGGGAGTCCCGGGTTGCCCAACCAGCCATAGCTGACTGAGACCGGTTTTTAATCCCAAGGCGCTTGGGATTGGTGACGTGGGTTGGCGTCAAAATTGGATATGGACCCCCAAAAGGGTTCCCTTTTTGGTGTTCTTTGGAAGCAATCGGCAAAAGATGCCCTCAAGAAAAGAGGCACCAAGGTTTCATCCCAATCAAACGTTTGACGGAAAAGCAACAACATGTTTTTAGGCACCAAGGTTTCATCCATCAAACGCTTGAAGGAAAAATCAACAGCAGCCGAGGTACTTTGAGGTCATGGGGAGTCGGGGCATCTATAAGGACGGCTGGTTCGCCTCGGTCTTCGGGCCCCGCATCCCCTGGAAAGACACCGACGAGGCCGCGCTGAAGAAATGGGACCCAGACACGGATGTGTGGGAGCTCTACGATCTCACCAAGGACGGCTTTCGGCTTTGGGTGGAAAGCTGACCCGAAAAAAGGGGACCAACTCATCCAAAGGCACTCTTGTAAAGCGGCTTTTGCTTCTCTGTGGGCGCCAACCAACCTGCCAAAGCAGGACACCGAAAGCCAGCAGGGGAGTTTTTGCTGTTTCATTTCCTTTGGGGCCCACCAGCCTTGTTCGAACCATGGTGAAACCAGGTTCATTTTACACACTCGCTTGTCCAAAGCCGACTTTTTTTTTAGACCTCCTCGGTTTTCCTATGTTGGCTTATTTTCAGTCATGGCCCCAAAAGGTGATGGATCAACTTTCCTGTCCAGTCCGAACTGGGCAAGTAAGAACCACCTCCCGGGAGGCACGTTCTGTGACTTTCAACCTTGGCCCTTTTTACCCTCCCACCAGCGATTCCATGGGTTTGTGCACAGATTTTCTGTAGAAAGACGACTTTCCTCCTTGTTGCACTTCCCTTCCATGTTAGTTGGTGGGAGGGTACCCTCAAAAAGCCGGGCCCCTCTGTTGGTTGTCCTTTTTCGGGAACCGAGAGGTCTGACCAACCACATGCCTAGGACTACACCCAGGCGCACGACCTCTCCAAAGAGATGCCCGAGAAGTTGGAGAAGATGAAGCAGATCTTCCTTTTGGAGGCGATTTGGGGCATGTCTTTGTCACGACAGCTAGCTTTAGCTAGCTGAAGTTTCTCCTCGCTGAAATGCGGAAAACATGATCTTAGCAATCAATTGTTTAGACCGCCCCCCTTCCCGGGCTCGAATCCTCCCTGGTCCACCCCTTCGTGGGTGCCCCTGTTGTCAAACAAGCCATTATTTTGCTTCGGAACCCAAAGGACCGCGAAGCTTGTAACCAAATAACCCCACCCATCTGATGGGTGTCTCTCAAGGTTCTTGGTTCAAGCCTTGTTAAGCTTGGCGTTTTCTGGTGCATTCGGGTAATTACCCTCGGGGGATGGTTGGTTGCAGGACTCGTCCAAGCAACCAGACCCATTGGCAAGAATCGAGCTGTAGGTTGTTGCTCTTGACAGCGTCAACGTTAAACATTGCCACGAACCCCAAACAGGGTTCCTTCGAAGGATACCCTTTTCTTCACCTCACTTTTTGGGGGTGCCGTGCCACTCGCGCGCGCGCGTGCGTGCGTGCGTGCGTGGGTGTGTGTGTGTGTGTGTTTTTTTTTGGGGGGGGATGGTTTTGTTGCCGAGGCCAGCGAGAACAAGGTGCTCCCCGTGGGTGCGGGGCTCTACACTGTGTTTTACCACCCCGAGGAGGCGCCCAAGTCTCACCTCACCGACTTCGAGCTGTACCAGGGCATGACAAGGACGGCAAGCGGCGGCTTTCGGCTTTCGGGTTTCGGCGGCCGGTGGCTACATGGTTGTTGTTGGGAACCATTTTGCTTTTTTGCTTATTGTGGTTTAGTGGTTGAAATCCCCACTTAACTGCTAAAAATTGAGAATTTTTGCTCCCCTTACAACGTCAACCAAGGCTAGGGGTGGGTTCATTCTCCCCTTTTTGGGGCACCACCCGGGTTGAAGTCTGTCTTGGGGTCAAAAAGCGGAACTTTGACGGGCCCAGCTTCTGGGAAATCGCGAGAAGTCTTTAGGGACCCACTTAGATGGGAGGAATCGACCAGGGTTACTCGCCATTTAGCTACGTGCCGAAATATCCAAGTAACACCTTTTTGAGGTCTTTGCAGGTAGGCCCATCCTTTCGAGTGATTCCGGGCTTTTTGGGGTCAGGGCATTTTGAGGCCACTTTCTGTGCGTGGTCAAGGGGATCCTTCTTGACATAAAATTATCAGAAGGCACAGATTTCAAAACCATTTTCTGAATGGTAGATCCCCGCCAAATTGGCCGAAAGAAGACCTGCTACATATGCGGGTGTCTTTGTTTGATGGCACCCTTTTTGGTTGGTTTACAAGGGCAACCCAACTGAAGCCGAAGGCCATCTTGGGGTACTCTATTTTGAGACAAACCAATCTTCCCCCACTGCTTGGACCCCCAAATGTGGCAGATCTTTGTCTCAGAAATGGGTCAAAGGGGTCTTCAATTTTCGCCCCTGGACCTGGAGGTGCAGATCAGTGGGTTTCTGCCAGTCAACTTAAATGGCTGTGGTGGTCAAAACTGATGGGATCTCATTTTGGCATCGCAGCGGTTTTTGGCATCGCTGAGGACCCAAACCAAGAGTCGAAGCCTCGAAACGAGATATGGTTGTGGTTGTCAAAACCGTTTTGGGATCTCATTTTGGTGGGTAGGTGAATTCGCCACCCATTTTAGAACCTATTTTAGTGGTTGGATTGGGATGTTTACTGGGGGTACGATTTGGATTTTGACCCGTGGCCAAATCTAACAACTCTCAAGAAAGAGACGCCCACCACAACCCGACGGTTCAGACACCCCCAAAAGTAGCTTGTCCACCTTGCAGTCAAATGGGCTCTCAAAGTGAGGAATCGGTCTGCACCCGGATCCGGAAGCTGAAAAACCGCCCAAAGCCAATGCAAGGGGAGCCTATTTGGGCAGAGCTGTTGGGGGAAAAATGGCACCCTCTGAAACTTTTTCTCTGTGAGTATGCTTAGTAGATGGTGTGAGAGGAATCGCTAAATGGTTAGTAACCCTGGTTGCCAAGTGCCGGAACATCCAACTGTGTGTGTGTGTGTGTGTGTGTGTTTGTTTAAAGAACACTTGAACCGCGACCCCTTCTGAGAGCATTTGCTATTGATTCATCTTCAGCGGGAAGGCGCCTGGGTTCTCCTCGTTTCGATCAAGAAGGAAACGCGCGATCGAAGCATGGGGGTTTCCCCCACGTGATTTTGGGCCATGTGACCAGATGAAGGAAGGGTACTTGGGTGTCCTGGGAGGGGGGGGGGGGGAGGAGGCAAATATATATATGAATATATATATATATATATATGGAAAACACGGAACACAATTAATTAAATCAATCTCTATATAAATAAATATAGACAGGTTAGACACCTAGGTGATAACCTGCTTGTAAGTCGCCTCTCGGAGGTAGCCTGGTAGCCTAGTTGTGGGCTATAACCTAGCGATCACCGCTTGTGAATCGAACACCCAAGCAGCATAGCGTGTGCCCTGAGGCCAGTCCAACTTGCTCCGAAGTCTTCGTTTTGTTTCTCCAACTCGGCGGCTCAACTTGCGGTAGGCAGGGGATTTTGTGGGCATGATCCTGGGGATTCCCGAAGAAAGGAAGCCACAAGGGATGGTTTAAAGGGCTCATTCCCTCATTCCCCTGGCCCCATGATTTTACCATGATCAAAGTCACCCCCCAAGTGGTGGGTTAAAGGGAAACAGCCAACCCTTTTCTGACTTTGATAACCCCCAGAAAACGTCAAAATCATGAGCCCTGTTCCCTACTGAGCACCAGCAAGTAAATGAATCGCGACTGCGACGAAGGATCGCGGAGTCCAATGCGCCCTCCTTCAAAAGCGGGGTCTCCTCTGTGAGCACTGTGGACTTGGACGTGCCGGCCGAGGCGCCCCTTGTTTCCGCCGGTGAAACCTGGGCGCTTGGTTGGTGTTTGGTTGGTGGCTGGGAATGTTTCTTTTTCTTCTCCGGGCCCTTCTGAAGCGATGGACCAAAAGTCGAAGAAGCTTTGTAAACAAAGCGTCCCTTCAAAGAAACGGCCCCACTTTGAGGGGGTCCTTTACAGAACATCCCAGCAAAGGAAGAGGCAAGGAGGATCCAATTTTATCTCGAGAGAAAGAAACCGGAAGGATGAAGCACAGCCCGACGGCGGTGAGGCGTCCGCCGGTGATTCTCTTTTGCTCGTCGCTTGGGGACGCTCGCTTTCTCGTCGCTTGTGACGCTCCCTCCTTTAGCTCTCCCGCACTCAGCTCACCTCTTCGCGCACCGGCCCCACCCCCAGCCCCTGCCGCATCCCGACCCACCCCGCGCCCCAAGCCTCGCAACCAAGGCCTCCGGAGTCTTGTACTGCGTGGGCGGCACTGGCGGGGGCTTCTCCTTGTACCTGGCACCTTGGAATCAGACGTCTGCGGCTTTTTGGGGGCGACCCCCCTTCTCCTCTTCCTCTTGTGGGGACTCGACAAATGGTGCTCCCCAGGAGGCTCGGTACAACTAGACAACAGGATTTTGGGATACCAGTAGTAGTATGGGAATTCCAACCTAGTTATGGCCATATCTACAGCTCCAAGCACTTTTAAGAGGCTCACCTCATCACATCTCATCACTTTCCCGGCAGTTTACCCTTGACGCCACCGCTGAGAAGGTCATTTTGAGGATCTCACTTCAATGACCCCGTAGTTTGAGCCACTTCTTGCAGGACATTGGGCCAACCAACCTTGTAAATATTATCCCCTTATGAACACGTCCCCTAAGTATCAAGAAATCTGTAGGAGAGATCAGCCGCTTGTTTCACAAATGTTTTCACCACTTGCCTGACGTGGTGCGGTGGGGTAGCAAGGACGGCGGCTACCTCTATGCGGAGTACATGTCCACGTTGCTGTACCGCTACATCGCCCGGTCTGCGGCGCCTTTGACCCCCGGGCGTCGCAAGATCGAGGCGCCGAAGCGCGAATCGAAAGCCAACCCCGTCACAAGTTTTTGTTTGTTTGGGTTGGGAAGGGGCTGTTCGTAGCCAAGCTCAGTAATTACCCAAGGTGATAGCCTGCTTGTAAGTCGCCTCTTGGTGGAGTTGGCCTGGTTGTAAGTAGGGTATAACCTAGCTAGATGGCCAAGTCGCTGCCTTTTGTAAAACGCTTTGCCGTTAAGCAGTCATAGTCGAAGGGAAGTGGCAACTGACGATCCAGGCAGCTTGCCGACCACTTGGGCAATGACCTAAACTGTCTCTAAAACGCAGCTCAACATTTGTCCGGGAAGAAGCAGAGTTGTGGGTGTAATCTCAGTGAGTATTCCACCAACCCAGGGAAGCGCCATCACCTGACGAATATCAAACTTGTTCCTCTCTGCGATTCACGCCGTTGGCCATTAAGCTGCCTCACCTGGATTCCTTTGATCTCCGACGGTTCCTCCGGGGAATCCAAAGGGAAAACTACCCCCTCGTGGACGTTCCTTCATTTGGCTGTGTTTTTTAAGACTAGGGATTCAGGCCCCCCAAACTGGCTTCGGCTTTGCCCTTGGTTTCCGGGGCTCAAAAAACAAAAAAATGCAACCATATGGCTCCGTCCTTCCTTTTTTTCTTCTTTCTTCGAGGGACCTTGCGCCTTTTTTTGAAACACACACACACACACCCACTTCCGTACGGGACCCCCCCGCCGCCCCCGCGGCCTTGTTTTGGGGGTGGGCTTGGGCCTGGTCGCCCTGGGCCAGGTGCGCCTCTCCTACGACCTGTCCGTTCCCAGCATGGCCCCCCCCGCGGACTTGCGGCTCCTCGTGGACTCCCAGGAGGCGCCCGCCTGCTGGGGGGCGCGGGCTCGCTCGAGACGGGAGGGAGGACGACGCCGGACGCGGGGGGGGGGGTGGCGGTGGTCAGAACCGTTTTTTGGGATCCCATTTTTGGGCTGGGTGGGCGGGTGAATTCACCTCCCAGAAATGGCGGTGGTGGTCATGGTCAACACCGTTTTTTTTGGGATCCCATTTTTTGTGGGTGGGTGAGTTCACCCCCCGTTTCAGAACCTATCTTAGTGGGGATGGGGATGTTCACTGGGGGCTACGATTTGGATCTTGACCCATGGCCAAATGGTTAGGCAAATGGTTAGGCAAATGGTTAGCAACCTGGTTTTGGGGGGCTTGCAACCATGGCAGAATGGGAGTTGCTAACCATTTACCAAACTCCCAGACCATCTAAGTTCACTTCTTTCCTTTTTGCCCTTTGGGGTTTGCCATCATTCTCCATTTCAACCACAGGTTCCCGCTGTTTTGCACCGGTCGGATGCGCCTGGCCTGGCAAGTGCTAGGGGGAATGGGAATCGGGAGTTAACAGCATTGCCAATGGGCCCGCAAGAGTGATCCGGATCCACTCCAAAAAACCTCCACTAACCTTCACTTGCATTCGAGTTTAGGGTTTTGCCCTCTCCCTATTCTCGTTGCACACTAGTTTTCCACCTGTAAGGAAAGAGCTTTCGAAAGCGCGAAGAGCCCGGGTTTTTGAGCATTGGGTTCCGGTCGGACAGGGGGGAATGGACTTTGGAGGTGATTCCCCCAATAAACCCCTCGCTCCCCGACAAATGCGCGCGGAGCCTTTTCAAAAGGAAGCCGGTTCCGCGAAGCTAAGAATGGACGGTGTGTCAGGTGTTCCATGCTCGTTGCTTTGTGGGGCTTCCCTTTTCTTTGGTGCAGGTTGCTCGGATGCTAGGACGAATGGGGTGTTCCGTATGAAACCACGGTAGCTTTTAAGCTTTTGGCAGGGGAGGTTTCGCACCCAAGTTTTGTGTTGCCGTTTCTTGGGTGCTTTTGGAGGTAGGGATATTCGGATTTCGGGACAGAGGCCACGTGAAATTCCCAAGCTTCGGCACTGGTGGGCCTGTCTTGTTTGGAGCCTCGGTCAGGGCTCTTTCAGGGAACTCAAAGGAAAACTGCCAATTTGTGAACCCGAACAAATGACACACCCATAAAAAAACCAAAAACAAAAAACAGAACCATGATGGTGGGCCCAAGACCCCAGCTTTTAGTTTTTTAAGCCCGTTTTCAACTCAGGTTTGGGGGGTCCCCGTTATTCAGACCCGCCCCAGCCATGGCCCTTTTCAGACCGATTTTTTTTGGCGAGACTCTTGCCCCTTTGCACGGAGCTTGGTGGGCGCCCAAGACCCCAGCTTTTGTCCCCCCGGCCAGGGTTGTGGGGAATGGAATCCACTTCTGTGATACAACAGAAAGGGCCTAACCCCAAAGACTCTTTTGTTCTCATAAAGGGGGGCCGCCTTTGCCAAGCACGGGGTCACTGGCACTGTCGATGACGCGTTACGCATAGGATCGCTCCGTGCCCTTCCCAAAAGTGTCACAGTGGTTGGAGAATCCCCGAGCGATCCCACAACCGGGGGAGTCCCCCCCGTTTTTATTGGGCAGCCGCTCTTGCTCGCGGAGGTGGGTTCCGTGCGGGTGGAGAAGTCCGTGCGATTTTCCTTCGACCTGGCGGAGACCTTCGACGTGGGCACGGACTTGGGGTCCCCGGTGTCGCTGAACTACGCCAAGCGGGCGCCCTTCAGCTACCCCGCCACCATCCACGCCCCTTGGGTATGGGTCAAAATGAAGCCACCAGGAATTGGACCGCAGGTTTTGGTCCATGTTTCTGTTTACCAGGGTTCCATTTTGGGTACCTGTTTTTTGACCCACAGCCAGCTGACGACGAGCTGAAATTTCCATGTTGCGCGCCCCCTCCCCTTTAAAGGTGAAGCACCGCCCCCCCCCAAAAAAAGAAGCCTCTTAGGGGGTCCCAAACAAAGAAACCGAAACCGACCCCGGCTCCCTTTGTTTTTCCTTGTAAACCCCATACCATTTGATTTTGGTCTAAATGGTCTCCAGACCGAAAAGGTTTCACCACCATTTGGGCAATTTTGGGGCGATGGTTTAGGCGGATCATCCGAGAACCCCGTGCTGGGTTTGTCTACAATGTTTGGGAAGCTTTGAGACGTGTTTGCCCTTGTTGCGGACTTTTATGGCAGACACAGATCAAATCCTAGGTGTACTGGTTTTCCACTTCGGACCAAGGCTGTGCACATCAAGTACACAAATCACACTCGCCGGAGTGTGGTGATTTAATGGCAACGCACTTGAAAAGTGCGTTGCCAAACATGTGGCCACGCTGCGATCCTGCTGTGTTTTACCATAGTAGCCATTTTAGTAAGTGCCTGGAGTCTCCATGACCCTCAAAAAATGGGGTCATCCTTGGCCCATTTTTAAAGGGTCACAGAGATTCCAGGTGGTTCGATTCCAACAAGCACTGCTCATGTCAAAAGGGTTTGCCGCGGTTCGCTGAAGCCGTAGGTTGAGACGCGGTCTGTTCACATGGCGGCGCAGGGTTCCTTTCTGGGTTTGAATGGGAACTGGAAGGATGCAAGGGTTCCGCTTTTTGACTAGCCCAGATAGACTTAAATCCAGGGGTGGTTTATAACCCCCAAAAGGAGAACAACTGCGTTCAAGTCTATCTTGGGGTAGTCAAAAAGTGGAACCCTGGATGCCGCCCCCGTGCCTCATGTTGCAGCCGGCCTTCCCTGCTTCACTTGCGATTTGAGACTCAAGCCGGCCAACTTGGGGAGACATTTGCAAAGTGTGGCCCAAAATTAAACGATCGGAGGGGCTGGCGCAGGTTTTGGTTTCCATGTTTCCACTTACCGATCGGGCAAGCCATTTTGGGATTCCGGTTTTCATGTCTCGGGCTGGCGCAGCGAGATCGAGAGGTCCCAACTTCTCCGAGCCTCGATCTACCTGCGGAGCATGTGGCTTGATCTTCTTAAAAACACGACTTTTCTCGTAACTTTTCGGGGGTAACGTGGGGCTATATGTCTGTAAAAGATGAGAACTTCCCCAGGGCGCAGGGAGTTTTAAGGGGTAAGTTTGGCTTGATCTTTTTTTTGGTTGCTTTGCTTTGGTTCTCATCGAAGGATATCCAATTGGCTGATGGTCTCCTTTGGCTGCCCCGATCTTAAGGGCCCGAACAGTCTTCGGGGCAGCCCTGGAAGGGTCAAAGGGCGGCATTTTCCGACTCTTATGCTCAAAATCGAGGTGTCTCAAATGGCCCTTTGCGTGGCGGCTCAAGGGAAAACAAAGGAAAGCCAACAAGTATTAGGGCCCTTCATACCCAGAAAGGGCCTTTTTGGTGGACAGGTTTCGACCGCGACATGCACGTTGCCCCCATTCGACACGTGCCAAGTGCAAAACACCAAAAGGGCCTTTTGGGTCAGAAGGGGGCCCTCATGTTTATTGAAAAAGTCTAGGCTTTCAAGAGGCGAAGGATTGACATTCCGAAAAGCAGTCACTTCAGAACGTCCACCCTTAGTTCAGCCGGCGAGTTGAGTCTTAGTCTATATGATGTCTTTGAAGGGGCCCAGATACACCCAGAGATGCTTGTTGGCATCAGCTCCTTCTCGGAAAGAAAGTCATGCAGCTGTGACATCGGGTAACCGGGGTCTCTTACAAATCCAGAACGCACCTGATTTCTGGCAAGGGAAACCACCGCTTGACCCATGTCGCCCTCAAAGTGTTCACTGCAGTTCAGCTCGGTGAATGTACATGGCAGAATTTTCTCCTTTGGGTTTCGCCATCCGCATCCCCTTCACCCACCCTAAGCGGAAGTGTGTGCCACCTACGTTCCCGAACGCCATGGCACCAGAGAAATGGTCCCTTTTGAAGGAACCTAGTCTTCCCCCAAAACGTCAGGTTCCATGGCGTTAGTGGACAGGAGGTAATTATTTTTCCCGACAATCTACCGAGAAGTTAGCTTCTGTGAGAAGCACCGCAGGAGATCAAAGAGAGGAGAAAGATAAAGGCAGGGCATTTGATCTTTGATATTTTTGAGATTTGGCTGGAGGGGAGACCATGGGCTTGGAGTTTTTTCGGGAATGAAGCGTTTGGGATCCCCTTGGGAAACAACAAGGGATGGTTCACTGCATTGAGCTTTGGCTGCGCTTTTCAGGGCAGGGAATGACACACCAAGCTGAATGATGCCTCGTTGCCTTCAAGCGATCCCAAATGCGTTCCCTGAACCGTTGGACGTGCCTGAGAGCCAGCAAGTTGGGGCATTTTGCCAAGGGATGTTAGGACTTTTCAACTTTTGGCCAACGAATGGGTTTTCCGTTATAAACCACTAAAAGTTATTCACTTTTAGTAGGGGAGCAGAAAGCAACCGAGAAGTTGTGTCTTGGTTTTGAAGGGGTCTCCCCCAATTGCGGGAGAGACCACGCCTAAAGTCTCTCTGGAACCTCTACTGGAGAGAGGCGATACCATCGAGCTCTTTCTGGGCTTGACCCCACCCATGTCGGGTTCCACCATTTGGAGGAGAGTCATGTGCCCTGACGAAGCAGGTGGCTTAGGGAGCAATCCTGTCCGAGGTTTCCTCTGACAATGGTCCCTATATTCCTTTAAACCAGGTTAACATGACCTTCCGGCTGCCAATTGAAAATGAGTCGTGTGTTTTTGTGTGAGATGATGTTTAAAGGGGAAGTGTCGGGGGAACTATAGAGGAATTGAATGGAAATACAGGATAATTATAGGGAAACATGATAATGTTTGGGGAACATGGGGAAATGCAAGGGAGTATGGAGGATATTTTAGGGAAGCACTAGGAACAGTATTGAGATTTTGGGGGAAGTAGAGGGAGATAGGATCTCTTGGGAAAGGCAGGAGGAACCAGAGGGAGATACAAGGAATCGTTTGACATTTATGGAAATCCAAGAACATATTTGTTTGAAGGTTCGATAGGAAAACAAAAGGAACAAGTTCCGGAGATCTAGGGAAATATAGGAAACATAGGGATACAGGGCTTTCGGGGGGAGCTACATGTGGGTGCGTCGTTTTTTGAGGGTATGCTTCTACCATCTTTGGGGTCCCAACCTTCTTTTAAGACACACCCCTATATGTTTAATGATTGGCCATCTTGAGAGACACCCATATGGTACATGCCCCTGTATGTCCCTGGGATTCGGTTACCACCATTAAGCCAATGCAATGGAGGCTCATATGACCACCATTGTTTACCCGAACATTGTCATCCTCCAAATTGGGTCCTTGCCATTCTTTTAATGGGGGTTGAACCCTGGGGCCTATGTTCCTATAAACTCCAAGATGTCCAACCTGTTGTAGCTGTAGGTGTGGTCTTGAAACTTTGGGTTCCCCTAAAATTTGGTTCCCTAAAACGCCTTTCATGCCGAGAAACTCCAAAAAAATGGGGCACCCAGTCCTCCGGTGGTTGGTTTCCTTTTAGTCTCCCTATAGAAACCAGCCGAAAAAGGGGTCCCTATTTTGAGCAACACCCATATAACCATGTAGGGATTTGACATTTCGCTGGACACTTCAAGCCCTACACACCCATACAGTCACAAAAGGTTGGACATCTTGGAGTTTATGGGAAGCATGGGGACATACAGGGCATCTACCACAGAGGTTGGGACATTTCGTTGCGGAAAATTTCAACCGCTGTCAGGTGGTGAACGTCGGATGGCCGGGGATCACTCCGGACAACGACCGGGACAAGCGCGAGATTGAGCGCCTGCTCGCAGGGGCGCCTAACGATGAGCGCTCGGAGCGCTCGGGCGGAGAGGGTTTTTTGGTGTGTGTCTGGTTTGAGGGTTTTGGGTATCCGTTTTGGGGCCATAGGTGATTTTTTTTGGTAAGTTGAGGTTTTTGCGCGGCTGTTTTGGAGGTTTTGGGTATCCGTTTTGTAGGATTCGGTCCATCCACAGTAGGTGTGCTTCTTTCGGCCAGAGTGGTTTGAAATAGATGGCACTGGTTTAGATTGGTTTCGTTTCCTATTCTACCAAAGGTCGCCTATGGGAGGGTGTGGATGTGGCCTTTGCGGAATACCCATAGAATATTAAAAGAGTACTAAAAGACAGGAAAGAGACCAGGTGAGAGATATACCAGAAAGGTGCATCCAAAGCGTTTGCTGGATTGAGGGTATCGTTTGATGGGTGGAACTAGAGGAAACAACATTATTTTGGGGCCATGCCCTTGAGGCTCCTTTTGACACGTGTTTTGGATCAAAAGGCACACTAAAACTTGCTATTTGGTTGGAATAAGCATCTTTCCCACTGAGACAGCAAACTTTTCACTCCTTGGTTTGAGCGATACAAGGGAATCAAAGGAAAACCAAGGGCTAGTTTGAGTGAAATCAAAAAAAACAAAACAACTGCACTTTGTAGGTTCCATATCATGGTTGTTGTTGGGACACATTTTACATTTTTGCTTATTGTGGTTTAGTGGGGAATCCCCACTCAACTGCTAAAATGCAAAATTTTGCTCCCCTTCCAACGCCAACCATATCCCCTTGAGACACTTGGAAGTTTCTGGGCTGCCGAGGAGCAGGTGCGGTCTGATTTGTCCCTCCCTTCGCACCGTGTAGCTTGATTTCGGATTAACTTCTCCTTGGAAGGGCCGGGGTTTGGTCTCCAAACGCCCAGGGCTTCCGCTCCTTTGCAGAGAAGAAGCCGACATGGGTCTGCCGTTTAGTTGGGGCCCTTTCTGGTGGTTTTAAAGGGGAAACCGCCAGGACCCTGCTCGGAACCAATTTGCGCAGCCCTGGAAGCCTTCGCGGAAACATTGCTGTGCACAGCCTCCCCCATTGCGGGTCCCGGTCCGAATCCTAAAGACCCAACCGCCCCAAAACGCTGCCCAAAAATGGGAGCCCAAATGGACACACAAAGTGACCAAACCCTTTCAGCCGCCCAAACCATTTGGCTGTGGGTCAAAACCAATGGTACCATTTTGGGGTAGGTGCACCACCCATTTTAGTCTATTTTAGTGAGGATCGGGATGTTCACTGTGGGCTAACCGATTTGGATTTTGACCCATGGCCATTTGGCAGAGAGCCCAAACCAAGTGCCAGAGAGCCGCCAAATTCCAATTCCGCGTGTCGGGCCGCGGTTGCGCGCCGCCCAAAAAATCGCGCGCCGTCCCAGGCAGCCCATGACTTCGTGCCCGTGTGGCCGCCTCGCAAGGTGGGGCTGCTGGTGGACTTAGGGCCTGGGAAAAAATGAAATGAACCAAACCCGGCAAAATGGAGGTAGGGACGATGCCCTTGCCATGAATTGGCGCGGATCTCTTGT